GGGGGGGCTGCTGTAAAGCAACTGACTGAAACAAAAGCTCCTAAATCAAAACGCCGCACACTGAAGGCATTTCTTTCTGACCAAAGGTTTTGGAAAAAGGTTTGATTTGTTGCCTCCTCTGGTACTTCCAAGAAATAGGTCAGGAGGATTTAATGTTTAAAGCCGTTTGTCCCTTGATCACTTTGATGGAAAACCATGTAAAAGAAGCTGAGAGGCTCGGCTTACAATTAAATGGTAAAATAGTTAAGTAGCTTCTAACGTGTGTCAGCTGAAAACTACATTGACGGCAATTCAGTTCGCACCTCAGGCTGCAGCTGAGAGGCAAATTAACGGTGTTGCTATGCAACTGTATGGAACTCATGTAGCCTGACCACTTGTGACCTCAGTATTGAGTGAACGTAATAGTCCTATCTGCCTCATTGTGTCCTTTAAAGACAGGATGAGATCAATTAAACAAATAGACCTCTCTGGTCGACCCATAACATAAGAGCTGCAGTATCAGCGGGGGAAAGAACAAAGACGGAAAAACAAGAAGGGGGACAGACCTCATGGAGCCACATGGCCAATGCATACTCCACAAAGGCTGAATTTAAGGCAACGGTTAAGGTTAGACGAATTAAACTACTTGATAAAGGGAAATAGTGTGGTCATGGTCATGGTCACATGGTTCCATGAGGTTTGTCTGAGGATTTGCACCCGCACCTCTGCACGTACCATTCTGCATCGTCTCTGGTTGGAGGGGCCTGTTGATGTACACCAGTCCAGCAGTTCCTCTATGTCATACATCAGCAACCGAGCCTTAGACAACACTGCAATGACAGGACAAAAACAGTAGTAGTCCCCACCTCTACTATGCGATATGCTAATTGTATTGCTTGTTGCCTTATACCTGAAGGGTTGGGTTGAATATAACACATGTGGGCATTAAAAAGGTTTAGAGGGACAGGTATCCTTTAGAGAAAGAAAATCTATTTTACAAGACGGGACAAACTTAGAGGACTCACAAACTAATGGTTGGAAACGTTACGTATTTTTAAGCCTGACCACTACAGTACACTGAACTCCAGAAAGGAAATTAATTAATTATTTATGAATCAATCATAGCCTATCTGGAAAGAAATGAAAGAACAGCTTTATACTGTAATGGAAAGCATTTTTACTCTCCGAAAGAGTAAGAGCAAAGCAAAAGTAGTGTGCCACAGTCAAAGGGAAGTGAGTAAAAACATATTATCTATTGAGGTGACATGTGCAAGTGGTGGACTTACACTCACGAGTCTTTAAGATGCAGATCTTGGGCTCCTCTTCACAGGTCATGTCACCGATCTTTGCAGCTTCCTCCACAACCAAAGCACAGGGTTTGTATTTCACGTTTGACTCCTAAGCCCTTTAAAGTAATTAATGTAGCACATTTAGGAATTATTTGGCAAACCGATGAATGCAGAAAAAATTTACATTTTAAAAACAGTGATTATAGGTGACACACTCCCAAAAAACACAGTAGAGTAAGACCAACATTAGATATCATGAAAACAAGTTGTACTTTATGAGAGCATGTGAACTTTAGTATTGTTTGTTGCTTGCTCTTAGACATATGATTGTTTGAATGACACCATTAAAACCCTTAAATTAATTAGACATGTTGGCTAAGAGTGAGATTTTTTTACAAACACATATACTGTACATACACTTTAATGTTCTGCCCAACACAATCACTGTCTGCTGGTAAATGCCACACTCATGTTTCTTTCTCACTTCCTCAACACAGATTCCCAAAGATCCACATGAATATTTAAAATAGTTAATATTACAGGTTGATCAACTAGTATAGCTATGTTTGGTCATTTAATATCTGTATGGCATTCTTCCTGTTGGAATTCATGATTAAAAAAACAAAGGGTTGCACAGGTTTACAATTCCCAAACTATTTCATCATCTCTTATTTCTCAGTAATCAGACATGTTAATGTTAGCAGTCAAGATGGGCTGCTTGGCTAATGACTCGGCCTCTACCATTGACTATAAGTCATCACAGTGAAGGGCTGGTTATGGTTATATATTTGTATTAAATTACAAATATAAAGTGACTAGCTAACAACTCACAATGCTTTGGCGATTAACAGGTAACGTTAGCTAGCTAGCTATCGTTACATTGCTATACCTAACTAACCAGCTCAATAACTGCGACAGAAAATACGATTAATTTCTATAGTTTATCTGCCAATGAGAAATAAACAAGTTATATTTGAGCAGTGTCAGCTGAAGTCACCTTACCTTAGCTTAGCTTAGCTTAGCAAGTGAGCAAATACTGACAAAGTGTGTTAACGTTAGCTAACATTGTAACGTCATCAGTCAACTGCACAATTAACTTCAGCTAGCACGTTAAGGGGCAACTTTTGCTGTAACGTTAATGAACTGTACATAACTTGTTCAAGACAGTTCTTTACATCTCTTTAATTTTTTATTTTTTTTATTTTTTATTTTAACGGTGTTTTCAACACGAGCGTCACTCTGAACAGTGTTTCTTTCAGTCAAATCACTGAATCTTTCTGAACAGTTTTTTAAATCCAGCAGAACTTCCTCCTCTTTCACATGTTGTTCAACCAAACTGCGTTAATACATCTTCCTCCTCACCGTGCTCAAACCAGTACGCCACGAGTGGTATTATTACTCACTTCTATTTACATCGTGCGTTTATTTTGAAAGGACTTTAGCAGTCAAGTGACTCCCGGAAGTTTTTGTTTCCTCACCTGTCAGTTCTGACACGGTGCGAGAGTCCAGCTTCGTCTCTTTGTTTTCCTCCGAGAAACAGGTCTTCTTTTTCCAAGAATAGATGATCATCCTGTGTGGTCCGCCGTCACGTAATTGAGGAGAGCATCTAATACGGTTAGTGGGAGTCGAGAGTGAAAAATAATCGACTGCTTTTGCTTCACCTCGCCACAAGACGTTAGCCAAGAGCTAACGTTAGCTAACTGTTATCATCAACAGATCAATCCTTGTAATCTATTGATACTCATTGTATTCATCTCCATGTGATCGTCTGCGTTGTGTTATTCACACTGAAACCTATTTTAGAACTGGCTGTCAATGTGTTTTGTCGGTTGTCAACAGAGCTAACGGAAGCTAACGGTGTGTTAGCATCGTATACAAACGAGTCATTGATTGTTTACATCCTAATTACGGCTGCTTTTCAATGCCTCCTTGAACGAAATAAGGTATCTTCGCTGCTGGCATCTCCCTGTTAGCCGTTAGCTCTTATATTTTATCGAGGGAAGGCTATCGCAATGACGTTCCTGTTCGTGTTTTGGTTGCACGTTGACTTTCGATTTCATACCATTGTCTGAAGTCGTCCTCTTAAAAGTCGGTGGTTCTGCGTTTGTGTTCGTCTTGGTTCGTAGCCATGGCGTGGATCTTGGAGCATGTCCGGTCATCCTCGTGGAACTTACTTTTGGAAAACACTCGGCCTTCACTGTTAAAAACTTGGCTCCCCAGTGTTTGCTGCATCATTGCATGCTGACATCATCGACCAGCGTTAGCTGCACTGTCTCTCCTGCCGAGCTAACTTACTCCAAACACAAAGTATCAAGGAGGGGGTGGGCTTCTCCTTGGTTTTAGGAGACGGTATGTCTAGTATGTTTCAGGTATTTTGGCTGGACTTCTTTCATTGTTGCTGAGAGTCACTTGATCTGTGTCAGTGGTTTGTAACAACGGGTCACTGTGAGTCTCTCTTTTCTCCTCTGTAACTGTGTCCAATCAAAGTTTATCATTTGTATTTCAAACTTTCGAAAAGTCGTTTTTGTATGTATGCAAATGTCACAGATATCTCAAATTGCTAAGCTGACAATTTTGCTATACAACAGCTGTATGGACCGCACACAGAGGGTGGAATCACCTTTGCACAAGAAAGATATGTTATTGTAAGGTGGACCTGATGATGTGATGATGACGACGCTGAGTTCTTCCATATGAGGCCTGAAGCTGGTTGAGGCCTTTTCTGAATCAGTGTAGTGAGGAGGAAGTAATGATGAAACACAACACATGTGTCAAACAAACATTTGAAGAGCCAGTAATACAACTGCATTAACTAGGTCCTTTAAGATTATGACAACTTTAAATATAAGATTTTCAATTTGTAAACCCTATCAATTTTAAGTTGAACTCTGCCTATTAGTCACAGTTGCCTTTGCTTAAGCTTGAAGCATGAGCTTGACTTCTTGTTTACATCCCTTTTAAACTTCATTAAATGTGTGTGTCACAGACACACAGCTTTGGTTTTTAATATACTGTGACAACAAACCAGTTTCTTCTGACAAATCATGTTCAATCTAATCTGATTTCTTTTTTTATTTGTTCTAAATACTTCAAATGTCTGTTGCACACAGGAAGTGATGCATTGTACATTTCCTACAGCAAATGTCATCAACTGAACAAAGTTACAGCAATGGGACGCTGTTGTCTTGCAGAATGATCCGTGGGATATGTAGTACAAAACACGGCAATGGCCAGCTAATACACATAATGTGCAGAAACTAGTGACAAAACTACTTAACAAACCAATGTATTGTAATCACACGGCAATACATTACATTACATTACAGTCATTTAGCAGACGCTTTTATCCAAAGCGACTTACAATAAGTGCATTCAATGGGTTTTCGAGAGAACTACTAGTCACCAGAAGTCATAAGTGCATCTACTTTCTTCAAACAAGCATCTAATAGCATAAACCAGAGCCAACGTACAGTGCAGAAACAAACGAATGCAATAAGTGCCACAAACTAATATGAATACAATAAGTGCAATAAGCTAGTATGAATACAATAGATGCTAAGTAAGTGCTAAGCGGAAGGCTAAGGGTAGGCCTTCTTGAAGAGGTGAGTTTTCAGCCTGCAAAACAGCCGCGACCGGGTCGATCGGCCGTAGGGACCTCTGAGCGACGGGGCAACCAATCGCCCCGAGGCAGCAGAGCGAAGAGGTCGGGCGGGGGTGTAAGGCTTCACCAATGTTTTATGATAGTCGGTGCTAAATCAAGTTGTCAAACCAAATTGTACTTCTTTTAATTCATTCATTTTGTGGTCTCTTTTACCAATAACAAACCGATTCATCATCACTGTGAAAATGACACTATACCTTCATGTCATCCGCAGGTCTTCTATCTGCTACAGAGTAGGCCTGTGCAGGCATGGAGCCCCTGGCAGTGGATGATGACATTTGCATCCTTAAATATGAGACGGCCTACACCGCTGCCGGCGAGAGTCCTATGTCGGTGTGTGCTGGCGATGAATCCGTCGCGTCCCACTTTGCCCTGGTCACGGCCTATGAGGACATCAAGAAGAGGCTGAGAGACACAGAGCGAGAGAATACACTGCTGAGGAAGAGGGTTAAGCAGCTGGAGGATAAGGTACAGATGTAAATGGAGAGGTGATGGTGTGAGAACGGCAAGTAGATAATAGCGTGAGGAGAATGAAGTAAAAGGCGTATACTGCTCATCCAGGTGGCTTAAAAGCCAGAGAGCAAGGTTTAAAAAATATATTTTTTTATTTTCCAGGACAAACACAACATGCTCAGAGAAAGTTTAGAAGAAGTCAGCAGATTCAACCGCAAAATATTTGCCTCTGGAAGAGTGTGCACGCCAGCATCATTAATATTGTTGGCCTATAGTCAAAGCTGTAAAACAATGAGAAATACATCTGCTCTGTCTAAAAACAGGGAAAGTATGGTATTGCCACACAATGTGTTGGAGGCTCCTGAAATTTGGGAGAAAAAAGAAAAAAGGATCGAGTACAATACAGAGAGAGCTATTTAAACAGGAAGAGTCCTAATACAGATGGTAGGCTAAAGTGAAATTGCTGCACAACATGTGGACAGAGTTGCCTCTCTAAAAGTGTCTCTCTAAAAGTTGTCAGTCTTATCTGGTGCAGCATTCGGCCCATCAAGATAGAATGTGGTGGAAGGAAAGTAGCCTCCTACCACAGATATGTGAATTGAATGAAATCGATCTCTCTCTCCTCTTTGTATCTTATCTCTCTCCACTGTAGCTCTTCAGGCCAGAGGCTCCTCCATCAGAGGGTCCTCAGTACGTGAACAAGGCCTTCAGCGCTTACCGAGGTATCTATATAGAGAAGGAGGACCTGCAGTTGGAGCTTAACAAACTGGTGCGTTTACTGATGGATTTGTATTTTACCTCAAACTGACTAGAGCCTGACACAAAGATCAAGTTGTATTTTGTTAAGGAGAAGACAGGAATACAGCACATGTGCACAGATCTCGTCCAGGGCAGATAGATAGAGAGAGAGAGAGAGAGAGAGAGAGTTTGGTTCATTGATATGAATGCTGACTCTCCCTTCTTCTCTCCCCCCCCCCCCCCCCTCTTCCTCACTGTCTCCTCTCTTTCCCTGTCAGAAAAGGGAGAAGAGTGAGAGTGAGAGGTTGCTGACGGAGCAGCTCCAGGCCAAAGATTTGGAGCTGCTTCAGCTGAGGACGGAGATGGAGACCAGCCAAGGTACAGGTAGAGCACACAGGGTTGCCCTCTTCTCTGTATAGAGGCCAAGCAGAGACTCATACTTCCTCGTAGTATCTATTTACTCAAGTGAGATGATATTATACATTCATTTGTTGGTCTGTGAGGCAAATCCGATACTACGCTACTGTGTAAAATCTGAAGTATGACACGTAGAACCAGGGGTGAACATGCTAAAGTGTGTTGCCCTATATTTAGCTGCATTACCTTTTCTCACCAAGTGACTGATTCATTGTAATAAATATTCAGCAAAAAGTCACTATCTTAATCATAATGATGTGTCAAATATACTGAACGGAAAAACATCAACACTTAACATTTCCGAGTTCAATCGTCCTTTTTTTTTTGTTATTGTGTGTGTCCAGTGATGAAGAGCCTGAACAGCTCTCAGGACTACTGGCAAGTGGACAGTATCAGCACTGACCTACAAATCCACAAACTGCAGGAGGAGCTGGAGAGGGTGACACTGGAAAACAGCAGACTGCTGGAGAGAAGTGGGGTAAGTGAAGGTGGGAAGATGGAGCAGAGAGGAGGAGGAGGAGGAGGAGGAGGAGGAGGAGGAGGGGGGGGGGGGGCTGGAGAGAGCAGCGCTGCTCTTGGGAGAGATGTGGCGTTACTAGAACAGAGGAAAAGCGCGGAGGAGAGGTGTTAGGGCAGAGCGAGGCAGGGTGACACTGAGAGATATATTTATATAATAACTGCTGAAGGACAAAGGAGAGAACAGAAAGGGGGAGTATGGGTTGAATGGGAGCGGAGGAGTGCTGCGTAATGAATGGTCCAATAAATGCCACAAAAATACTAAGTACAACTTCAGACACCACCTCCACTCTCTATTTTGCATAACTTTACTCTGATTTAGGAGGAACCCCGTGGCCTTAACGGACCAGACTTGGACCAGACCGGTGATGCAAATCTTAATGCAAGGTAACGTGTTTCATGATCATCATTTAAGAGTGGCTTCTAATTCAGTGGCCGGCTCTGATTTCAGTGACGAAAACTACAAAGGGAGTAAGCACTGTGTCAGTGCTAAATAAAATGATCATCCTTTAAGTTGGTTGTCGTCATCATAGGCAACCATCAGTAGAATACGTTGTGTAGTATTGTTTTTCTTACTTTAAATACATTTGCTTCTCAGGCAGCAAACCAGTTTAAAGACCTCAAAGTCAACAATCAAGATTTTTAGTGCTGGAAGCTCCAGAACACACATTATCCTTCTCAAAATGTTCATGTTTGATTAGTTGTTTGGTTTCTGACAGCTTGCTGCAATGCTTTTTCATGTGCACCTAAATGCAACACATGGATGGCATTTACAATCTATGTTTTCAACTTTAAATGCAACAAATATGACATGAGATGATGGGTTTTACGTCACACCTAACCTTAAATGAATTCAGTTGCTTTCTAGCAAATGAGTATAAGCATCATTTAGCCATGTATTCTGGCTCAAACGCCACAATGAGTCTGTAAACATTTGTAACAAAGTTACATGAAGTGACACAAGAAGCAAGTTTGGGACGAATGGCGTGATAGTCAACACAGGTAAGATATGTGTGTATTGTGATACATGGGATGTGATGTCATGGTATTGGCTGATGTTGTAATGTCACCCTTTGGCCACTAGAGGAGGGTGCAGCTTTATACATTTTAACTCAGCAAAACAGCCTATGTTGTGCAGAGAACCGCAGAAGTACCTGAACGTCGTGATCACGCCAGCTAAACCCCGCACACTTGTGTCCATGACAAATACTTCAAATTCGCCCTCCAGTGTTTTGATGTAAACGAGGTCTGTGACATACGGAATTACCATTCTCTGACTTTTGCGGTGAAGATAATCTCCAGTAAATTAGCATCTCCTCGCATTTTATGAAGAAAATTCTATTTGTGGTGCATCGTAATTGTTTCACGTGTCAGCAGTTTTCATATAGCTCAAAAACATTTAGTTTTTCCTCACAGTATGTTTTTTTTGGGGGGGGGGGGGGGGGGCTGTTCCAGGCAGGTGTGTGAAGTTAACGCTAAGTGTTGATGAGATTTTGCAACTTTACATAAGGTGTGGATTGGACAGTTTGTAGGTGTTGCCTCAAATACCTCCACTTGTTTTGGTTTGCATTGCAGCCGATGCTACTGGGTGGTTTAGCATTGAACTCAATCATCCTGTAAGTGTCAAGAATAGCTTTTCCTTTGCAAGGCAATGACATATAGCCTAAGTGGGCCTTCATTATGGTAAATGACAACGCTCAACACCTGTGAAACGCATCTGTGCCTTTAAATCAGGGCAGTCGGTGACTGTGTTAAATGTGTCGGCAGAGAAACGCAGTATAAAGCAGAATTACAGTTATCACAAAGAAACAAGGAATTTACTAAATAGATTAGTCTTCTATGATTAGACACCCTTGACCAAATTAAAGTTATGGGCCAGTTTTACATCTTGGAATGTCAACAAACATGCAAAATGAATCATTCCTTGAGTTTAATGAAAAGGATAATCACACAAAAGGTCTCCCTATTTGAGTAAGTACAATAACATCATTGATATTTGAATGGATCTCCAGTGAAACCATGAGATGCTGTATGTCACACTGCTTATAATCTTCACCACAGGAGATGTATAACCACACAGGCTCTCTAGAAAACTAGAAATCCTTAAAACAAGACGTGTCAAATAAACATTCTGTCCTCCTGCAGGGAGAGGAGCATGCAGCAGCCGTACGAGGCCTTGTGTTATGAGGTCACTCGTCTCCACTCAGAGCTGAAGCACCAAACGGGCCTGATTAGAAAACTCAAGCCACTCATCAGTGAGACAAGACAAGGTGAGGCACACACACACATACACACACACACAAGCATGTGGGCACACTCAGGGTTGTGCCATTCGTTGCTGTTTTATTTGAATGGAATTTTTTTTTTAATCTTAATTTCTGTGCTTGTGTCAGTATATGCGATGACCTCGTTTTCTGTGCTCCCCTTCTGTTCTGTCACACCTCCCCAGCTCCAGTATGTACAGCATAGGGAGCATCCTGTAGCCCCAACACACCCTCATAGCAATTTCTCAGTTTTACTATAACATTCTGAACAAAAAGTCTTGCACATACAAGTGTCATGTGTACTTTTTCCATGCCTGCATTTGACCTGTTGTACGTCCGATTCCAACCTGATGAGCTCTCTAGAGAAGATATCTGTACAACTCACAAAAATGGAAAATAAATAAGCATCGCATAGTCCGAAATACTTTTGAAGAAGCTTTTAGTTTGAAGGGGACATAAAGGTAGTTCTGGACGAGACTGGAAACTGACTGATAAGCAGAGAGTGAACAGATACAAATATGAAGTTAATAACTATACTTAGAGACTCCGTATAACCGCACTGAGTTTTTCATAGCCAACCTGAAGGAGTGAAATAAGTATACTGACAAGTGTGACATTTGCAAATGTGTCTTGTAACCCGATTGTCCGATATAGTTCACTTCAAGTATAGTGGCTGGAATTCAAACCTTGCTTCTCCACACAAGAACTAATGTGGCTAACATGAAAGGAAAGAAAGGGGTTTTCGACTGCCTCTCTTCTGTTCAGGGAAGGCTTTTCTGAGGAGAAGCACTACTTGCCGAGACGATTTCTCCCGCTGCTCCTTGTCACAATTTGTATAAGAGTGTGATAAGACTGTGGATATTATCAAAGTACTCCAAACACTTTGATCAAGGACATCGTGAAATAGTCTGTTCCGCCTCTCTCCCTCCCTCTGCGACGATGTATTCTACTCCAGGAGAGATTACCTCTGTTGTCGATTCCCTCGGAGTGTCAGAAGAGGAGACTAGGAGGTGAAAATTAGAACGAAATACAGCCGGAAAATAAATCTTGGCCTATTTATTCCAGTGAATAACAGGGTAATCCTGTAACTTAGATGAGACGGATGGAGAAATAAGGAAAGCAGGAGTGGCAAATAAAGGGAGATATGAGCGGGGGGGGTGAGCGTGAGCTATGTATTTGTTCAATCATATTGTGCATCTGTATTCTTCTAATGTTACTCCTTTGGAATCAGTTTTATTCAAATCCTAGACTCAGGAGACCCTCTCATGGAGGACTAGCGGGGAGGGATGGATGGATAGAGGATGTGTGGATGAAGAGAGGCGGAGGGGGGGGGGGGGGGGGGGGAGATACTCTTATTTTAAGTTTATTATTCGCTCAAAATGATGATTTGATAGCAATGCAACAATGCGTGTGATATTAGGACATCTGATTTGTGCATCGATATGCTTTGTACGGAATTAAAAGTGTGGCTTAGTTTATGCACCGAGGTTTGTTTGTTTGATTAGTTCTAGTGAAGAAAAGCTAGTTGTTATTATTGTACAATATGTAGCCTGATTTTACCTCACTTCTCTTTATGTTACACGCTGAGGCCCGTTGTCTAGTGAGGGATCACAAGGCTTGCTTAAGGAGCCTCTGTTTAATCCACATGTAAATAAGTAAAGACAGTACGGAGGTGCGATCATGGTGCCAAATACAAAAGGAGACTTTCCAGCTACCGGAGGAAAGACGAGATGGTTTCATTTATGCTGCCAGCTGGATTTTAGAGAAATTATGTCGTTAAAAGAAAGAAAAGAAAAAAAACCACTTCTCATCCCCTTCTACATAGACAAATGGAGTAAAATGAATCTCATTTGAAGTCTTATGAATGTCCCCCTCGAGTGTGTGATTTCTTTTTTTTTTTTTCCTGTCTACTTCTACTGAATAGTAGAAATGAACTGAAAGCTGAGACGTAAATGATAATCATTTCTGACAGATAGCTTTTAATAATGCTAATATGTCTACTGAAGTAAGCACTTAATGCCAATTACCAACTCTTTTGACATAAAGAATACAATGCTTTGATTTTTCCCTTCACTATATCACGCCCATAATCTTTTGTGCTCTATTAATGTGTCTACAGTTGCAGTTGAAGTGCACTCAAATTGAACTGTATTCCAAATATTAAGGTAGTGACAAGCTTTTTTTTCTTTTTCATGCTATCCTCTCAGCCATACAATAACTTTGTCTAAATCAAATATTGTATAAAACTGAACACAAATATATTCTTTGATCCCACATTTACTGATTCAAATATAAGTTAAAGAAACACCAGGAATCTGATTGAGCACCCAGTGTCAACTTTTGGCAATGTACAGGTTTTAAATACTCAACCTGATCCCTGTTAGGAACTATGTCAAGTAGTGTCCCCATGTCCCCTTATGAGGACACTGAAATAAGTATTAATGATATTATCATGACCAATTGTCAACATATATATATTTCTTGGAAATACAATGCAAAAATTGGCAGGCTCTCGCATATCATTTTTGCAACAATTTATACGACTCTTTTTGTCTTTTGCTCTCATCCTCCCTCTATCCTTCACTTCGCCTCTCCCCTTCTATCCTCTCCCCCTCTATCCCCCCCCCTTCTATTCCCCCCCCCCCCCCTCCTCTCTCTCTCCGTCCCCAGCTGCCTCGACAGGCCCAGTCCAGTGTCTCGACGACGTGGAAAAGAAAAACAACCCTGCACTTCCCCGGGCGTCAGCGCCTCGCCTCCCTAGCGCCCCCCCACTCCCCTCGTGCTCCGGCCGCCCCTGCCCCCCCCGCCGGCGGGCCGTCGGGCCCCCTGCTGCCGGACAGTCTGAGGGAGGACTGCTGGTACAATGGGCCCTGGCCCTCCCAGAGCTGTTCAGGGGAGGCCCTGGTCGGCGGTGACGCCTGCTCCGTCGTCCTGCCCCCGCCTCCCCTGAACCAAGCTTCCCTGGACGACAGCTCGCGGTCCTTCCCCAGCCCCCCCAAACCCAGCGACGCCATGTTCTGGGAAGGACACTCCGCTGCGTCCAACTCCTCGTCCTCAATTGGAAACTGCAGCCCCAGGAGCCCTCCCAACGCCGAGTGGGCCAAGCCCTATTGAGAGGGACGATGATTAAATAAGAGTGCGTAATTGGATGGAAAAATAAACGAATGAATGAACGGAACTCTCCAACCCTGCCACATAGCTACCACCTAACCTGCCTTAAGTTGATAAGACCACTCCTCTTGGCTGGACTGCACTGGACCTGCTGGTTGTGGGAACTAATTGAGGCCAGAGGAGGCCTTTTTTTTGAGGTAAAGACTCGATAAACCCATTACTCCGTCACCTCCGCACATCGCATTCGGAGAACATATCGGACTTCGCAGAGGAACGTGCGGTGAGAGACCCTCACCAGAATAGTGTGTGTGTGTGTGTGTGTGTGTGTGTGTGTGTGTGTGTGTGTGTGTGTGTGTGTGTGTGTGTGTGTGTGT